TTTTTTTTTTTTTTTAGCTATGTTAGCTATGAAAGTAATTAAAAGAAGGCACCAATTCCTATAAAGTTCATTAATCAACCTACATCTATAATTTGTTTTTAGTTTATTATTTACAATGATTTGTAATCTTCATTATAAAGAGTGAAATAAAAAAATTCAAAAATAAAGTGAATATAAATTTTATTGAAATAAATACCGTAATTCTTTGTGCAAATCTCAAATAGTATCAATGAATTTTAAAAAATCAAAAAAGCTGTGGACCCATTTTTAAATTTGTTTAAAAATAACCACAATGCAAAACTGTAAACTTTGACCTTTAAACGTTAAAAAAAAAAAAAAAATAAACATATAAATATTTGTCGTATCCTTCTTCTAGCCAAATGATTTCAAACTTACTTTCTCACGTCTCCCTCTCTCTCTCTCTCTCTCTCTCTATCTCTCTCTCCGTCTCTATCATTTAGGTCCACAATTTTGGAAATAGTATCATCTCTCTCTTGCTCACCTACCTATGAGCGCGTATTATGCAGTTGATGTTGTCCTACTCCAACACTCCAGCATGATTATATACTGGCTTACACAAAATATACAAAACATAAATAACAAATTATATATATATTTTTTTTTTTTGCAAAAAAGAACGCCTCATAATTACCATATTTTCAAATTACCATACGCCAAGTGAGACCGCGGCGGCATTTTCTTTATTTTACATGACGGCCATAAAAGCTAATTGTATGCGTGCATGGCGGCCCCCGAGGGCAGGCGGCGGGCGGATGAGGGGCGCCAGCTGAAAGAAGACCAGATGAAGAAGAAGCTGGACTGGAATGGACTGGGCCGGACCGGGCTGAGCCGCGTTAAGGTAACCTTGGCTTGTTGCTGCTCGGTGATTTATATTTAATTGTTGTCATTATGGTCATCAAAATTGTGCGGCGGACCCCGACACCTGCCCACTGGGGCATTTTTTACACCAGCCCCGCCCCACCCACACCCACACTCACACCAGCAGCAGCAGCAGGAGCAGCAACGGCGAAAGCGACAGCAAGAAGAACATGAGAACGTAGCAATTAATTCAATTTGGCGGGCAATGTGTGAAGCAGTCGCCGCTTGTTTATTGTCATCTGTGGATGCTTGAAGCGTGCAAATACGCTTAAGATGGGCCAATTGTTGACAGAAGTGCGAGAAGCCTTGGCGTACCGAGCTGAGGCCAAGCGTCGCCTCGCTGCAGCAAGAGCGCATTTTCTCTTAAGGACTCTC